GGTGATTCCAGTGTGCAACCAAGATTGAGGGCCACTTAAAGTCCAGGGAAAATTGTTTCTGGATAAGTGTATGTGCATTTTCTGGAAAAGCTAAGATGTCTATGGCACCTTCTGCCTTCCCTCCCTCCCCTCCCCCCAGAAAAGGCTCAGGGACTGGTCTAAGATAATAAATAAGCAGGAAGAATTTACCAATTATTAAGGAAACACCAAATGTGTGTGTTAACTAAATAAATAGGCATTAATATGCAGAGCAGAGAAAGTGCCTATAGGTGCTTCACAAGTGAAGGGGACCTCCGGAGTGTTCTGGTTGGTGGGATGGGAGAGTCTCTACCTCTCCCAATTAGCCAGGAAAACCATGTGATTTGAGATGCTGCCACTCTAGGGGTCTGATCACATCCCTTAACTCCCCCCACCACAGAACAAAAGCTTGGCTCCCAACCACAACATCCTGGTTCTTCTGTGACCTTGCTCCAGCCATCCTTTCTAGCTCCTCTCCCTCACTTCTTCACACACCCTAGCCCCAGGAGGATGCTCACTGTCCAGTTTTTAGACACTGTGCCTTTGCTTCTGTTCTTTCCCAGGTTTCTCCCACTCTGCCTATCTCGGGGTGGAAGGAAGGTTGAAGAGACAGAGAATGGCTGGAGGCATGTTTCCTGAAGGTGCTCAGTTCATATTTGTCAAAGCCAGTAGGGCAGCCACCTTAGGAGCTCCTGCTTGGGAGTTGGAGGGATGATGTGCAGAGATTCAGAAGCTCTGGCCTTCAGGGGACTTAGATGCCAGTGGGGGGAGGCAGACCAGTAAGAAGCGCAGGGAAGCATAATAGGCGTTCTGAGAGGAATATGTGGAGGGGACATGTTGGGTGGGAGGGGGAGTCAGGAGAGACTTCATCCAGAAAGGGACTGATACCCAGCAGGCCCCAGTGAAAAGAGATGGGACTGAATTAGGAAGCTGAGGCTAGATTATGGAGGTCATTGAATGCCAACCTGAGGACACCCACCACACAGATTGAACCCAGGTGGTGCCCCCAGGTCTTGCCAGCTTTTAGTCTTGCTCCCTCAGGAAGTCTTTGCTGTAATACCAATCTGTTGAGGCATAGGACCTAATTGTGAGGCTGTCTCATCTGCCTGGAGGTGTCTATGCTTGGGAAGGTGCCAGCTTTTTGCAGGGAGCCCCGGCCATCTCCTGTAGAGTCTCCTTCCCCACCCCGCCCACGTTCCCAGGCCCCTAGAACAAGTCACTGACCCTGTAGATAAGAATAGTGGCTGTACTTCCCAACCATAAGTCAGGTGAGACATAGGTATGACAGTGGGCTGGGCAATGGACAGTCAGGGACCTCCCAGAACAGGAGAGGAGGGGAATAGCTTCTGGATCTGGGGTTTGAATCCCAATGCTAAGCGCTGGGAATGCAGTATTAACTGATGTAACACAGACACTGTGTCTAAAGCTCTGTGAGAGTAGATGTTCAATAAATGTTCTCCTCCATCTGCTTTCCTGTGCTGACAATCCAGGTGAAACAGCTGTATCCCCCACTCAGCACCTCCCCCCCACAAAGAGATGCGTGCCCCTCCTCTAGGGTCTTCACCCCTTCTGCTTGGGTCGCCAGGATTCTCTAATTATTCTACACTTTAATAAGGCACAGAGGGCTCATTATGTAAATTCAGGCAAAAAAAAAAAAACCACCCCAAAACCCAAATCATGAATCGCATCTGTATTAATAAACATTTTAATTAACACTTACCAACTGCCAACAAAGTGTTAGATGTAAATAACAGGTGGATGCAGGTTGAAGTAATGAGACTAGAAAGCCGCTGCTTCCTTTCTACTCCATCCAGGAATTTCAAGAGATAGTTCTTATGCTATCTCTTTTTATTTATTTTTTATTTTTTAAGTAGGCTCCATGCCTAGTGCAAAGCCCAATGTGGGGCTCAAACTCATGACCGTGAGATCAAGACCTGAGTGGAGATCAAGAGTCAGATGCTCAACCACCTGAGCCACCCAGGTACCCCGATATTTCTAAAAATTTTTTTACCTATTTAAGTAATTTCTACATCCAATGTAGAGTTTGAACTCATGACTTGGAGATCAAGAGTCACATGCTTTCCCAACTGAGCCAGCCAGGTGCCCCCCGCTATATCTTTTTAAAAACAAGCTTATAGGGGCGCCTGGGTGGCTTAGTCAGTTAAGTGTCTGATTCTTGATTTCAGCTCATGTCATGATCTCAGGGCCCTGACTTCAGGGTTGTGAGACTAACCCTGCATCAGGCTCCATGCTGGGCATGGAGCCTGCTTAAGATTCTCTCTCACCCTCTGCCCCTCCCTGCTCAGTGCACACACACACACACTCTCTCTCTCTAAAAAAAAAAAAAAAAAGAAAAAACAAAAACCCGAAGCTCCCCACAAGCTTATAAGTTCTCCTGAACCCTGAACTACTAGTACACACCTATCATTGTTTGCCATTTAAACATGTTTATTAATAATTTAACATTTGTATGGTGCCTCTCATCTCAGATTCATTTATTCAGTTCATTCAGCAGCTAGTCAGTATGTGTGGTAGGCACTGTTCTAGGCACCAGGATAGAGCAGTGAGTGAATAAGACAAAGTTCCTGATCTTAGGAACTTTACATTGTGGTGGGTAAAGACAGATAATAAGGAAATCATCAAATACACACACAAAATATTCAATGGTGAGAAGTGATGTAGGAAAATATAAAGTGAAGTAAGGAGAATAGGGAGAGAGATTGAGAGTGTGTGTGTGTGTTACTTTCCTTCTGTGGCCAGGGAAGGCTTCATTGATTAGGTGACATTTGAATGATAGAATTTACTGATTGATTACATATAGGGCATGAGAGAAAGAGGTGTCAAGTTGGCTCCTGGGCTTTTTACTTGAGCAACTGAAAAAATGGAATTGCCACACACTGGTATGGGGGAAGCCTTAGGTATGGGAGAAGCCTTAGGGATACAGAGCAAGTTTGGGAATTTGATTTTGGACATGTGCTGTCAAGTAGGCAGTTAAATATGCCAATCTGGAATCCAGAGAAAAGGTTGAGACTGGAGATATAAATTTAGAAATCTTCAGCCCCTAGATTTTTCAAAACCCAAACTAGCTGTGACCACCAAAGGAAGGAGTGTGGACAGAGAAGAGATCCAAGGACTGAGCCCTGGGCAGGCCTCCACTGAAGGGTGGGTGAGGTGAAAACAGAGAAAGAATTGCTGATGAGGAAGGAGAAGAACCAAGAGAGTGGCTACCTGGACACCAGGTGAAGAAAATTTTTCAGGGAGGAGTGAGCCACTGTGTATAATAATACTGATCGATGCTGAGGAACATAAGGCTCAAGAATTGACCATGGGGCTTGGTGCCATTGGGGTCACTGGGGCTCTCACCAGAGTGGCTTCTGTGGAAAGGAGGAAGGAGGGAGGCAAATGTTTGATGCCAGATTCTGAGAGAGAAAGATGTTGTCTTAATTCATTGATTGGATACTGTTTTTGAAGAAACCAGCTAGAAAAGACAATTTGAATATGGACTAGATATTAGGAAACTATTGTTAATTTTTTTAGGAGTGAAAATAGTATTATAGTTATAATCTTAGTCTTGACAGATACCTACTTAAATGTGTAGGGGTGAAGGGTTGTGATATCTGCAATTTAATTTCACACAGCTTAGCAAAAAAAAAAAATATATATATATAAAATATACTTATTTATTCAGAACACATAGCAGAATGTAAACATTTGTTGAATTGGGCATATGGTGTGTTCACTGTACTATCCTTTCAAGTTTTTGATATGTTTGAAATGCTGTAGAAAACTTGGGGAAAATACAGACTCTGGGCCTCACAGGTGGCAAATGGATTTTTTAAAAGACCACAGGCAACTCTGATATATCATCAGGGATGAGAACCACTGATCCAATGCCCCACTGAGCATGAAACTGAGGTGTGAATAGTTGAAAGACTTTCCAAAGGACAGAACAAAGGCTCAAATTCATGTGTCTTGGCTTCCAGTTCTATGTACTTTTCTTGTATATCCTCTAAAGGAATTTCTTAGATAAGAAACCTGACCTTCTTGAACACCTAAAACTCTTTGTCAGCAGATGAATTGCACAAGGTAAAGGATTTGGGCACTTAGAGGATGCTCAATTGTTAAGAGTCAGGTTATTAGAGGACCAAAAATCATTAGAGGGTTAAAAAACTGTAAGGCACTAAGGGCAAGGACAGTCCTAATTTAAAAAAAATGAATTGTATTGAAGAGTTAAATTTTCTTTCAAATAATTTTATTACTTTTTGTGAAGATAATCCATGAGATTGAATTTTCACGTTTGTAAGATTTAATATATAGACAAAATCATAGCTTAGGAAAAAATTCAAAAGTCCTATTATTAGTTGGGAAATGAGGTTACAGATGAAGTTCTTGGTGTTGAAAGAGCCCAGGTTCCTTGCAGAGAGACATGAAGAATTGAAGAGGCGTATCAGTAGTAGATCCCAGTGTCTAGTGGGAAAGGCATGAGTCTTGGCAGTCAGACAAGACCTGGGTTGGAATTCTGACTCTGCCATTGACTAGTTTTGTGACATTAGGATAGTTATGTGAGCGCCCCGCATCTGTCATTCAGCCCCTCTTGCAGGCACTAGTTGCTCGGATATAGCAGTTAACACAAGATGCACAAGGTGCTGCTCTCCTAGAAATCCAACAGGTAATTAAGGAATGGGGGATATTCAGGTGGGGCTTCTAACTCCAAAGGTACTGAAAGCAGCTCTTAACCAGGTGGAGATGAAGTTGGACTGGGAGAGGCAAAAGAAGGCAACATTTTAAGGAACTGTGGGGGAGCCTAGTAGCCTGGAGCAGCTGAGAAACACATACAGTTCCTGTGGCTTTAATGCAGGTGATGGCGATTATTTAGTGAAACAAGTATGGAAAGACCTAACGCTGACCCAGAAGTAAGAGGCAGGGCTTGGGGCGTGAACCCGAGCGCTTTAAACTCTCTCTCTGCCAGGGAAGGGGACTCCAACCTCCAGCACCACAAAAGTAAAACGCCTGGCCTCTGAAGAGCCCAAGACAGGTGGCGTCGGAACTGGAGGCTTATGCGGGGGGCGTGGCTTCAGGCAGCTACCCGACGTCCTCTTCCGGAACAGGCCTGTGCCCCGGAAGCAATTGTTTGCTGAGCGACTTTGGTACCGTTTAGGAGACTGCGTGGGTGTTGTCACCATGTTCCTATCCGCGGTCACCTGTAAGTGGGGTTGGAGGCGGCGGCAGGGCCTGCGGCGAGGGCGGGAGGAAGGCGTCGGGACGGTGCGGGGCCGGGGGCGCGCGCCGGCCGGGAAGCTGCCGCTGCGACTCTCCAGGCCTTCTGGACTACAGCGTCCGGCATGCCTCGCGGCGCACGACTTTGCGGGGCGAGTGGTGCTTGGGGTTCTGCGGCGCTAGTTCTCGGTCCCGTTGCGGTCCGAGACAGGGGTAGTCGAGGCTGGTCAGCAGCAGTGGGGCGCTTTCTCCCGTCCTCCGTACGGATGTGGTAGCACAATCCCTGCACGTCCTAACTGGGAAAAAAACCCTCAGAATTTTTAGTTCACTCGTTTCGAACCCTGAAGATGAAGAAATGGCTTGAGAAGGGCAGTGACTTACCCTAAGTCAGTACAGCTGGGCTGGGAAGGAAGTGTCTGGCTCCCCAAGGCCGCCCTCTTCCCTGCACCAGGCCAACTTCTAGGTTAGTTTCCCCTCCACCTGATGTGATGGTCGTTGCAGTGCATAGGTTAACTTGTCAGACCAGTGGCTTGTTCCAGTGCAATTTTTGGACCTTGGAAGAGGAACATGTGGAGCAGATCTTAGATTTGAAAAGTAACCGGTGCAACTGAAATTGTACAAAAGCATTACATCCAGAATTGTGTTGCTCTTATTGGATCTTTTTCTTCTTTCTAGAATCCTAGCGGGATCCCTACAAGCTAGGGAGTAGTTACTTGAGCGACAACCCATGGCCTACTTTGTCACTTACATATTTATTACAGACATTTGTATGAACTTTGCCTAAGAAAGATAATAAGTTGCTATTTTCTTTTCTCTTTCAACCTTCCTCTCTGCGAGAAAGTTGCCAAGAGCAAGTCAAAGTAAGTAAGGTTTTTCTTTTTTTTTAACTTTACTTGTTTATGTTTGGTTTGTTTTTCCAGCCCCTGCCAGTACATCCTTATGTTAAATTAAGCATTTGGTCTCGATTTTCTGAAAGTTGGTTTGAGGATTACTTACTTGGTGAATTGTTTTGGTTCTGTGAACTCTTTCAAAAAAATTTTCCCTCCTACCCAACTGACCTACTTAAGTGAGTGTTCAAATAATTGAAGGAGCTCTTGCTGTCTTGTTCCTAAACAAACCATCAGGGTTCCCATGCTCTCTTTGGACTACCATCATATTTCTGTTTCCTCAGAGGGAGGACTGAGGGCCATTTGTCTGGAGCCCACTACAGGAGTCTGGCTGAACAAGCTTTGATTTGATTGAACTACAGAGTCAGTTTTAATGAGTTTTGTAATCCTTTGCATTCATGGAATAAGCATTTCAAAAATAGCAGATTAACGATTCTGTGCTGTACCAGAGAGACTATAAATACCAAACTGATCTCAAAATACATTTTGTAGACAATAACTGAAGTAGGATTTTCTGTGTTAAAAATAGGAAAATTCTTTTGTAGAAAAAAAAAAATTCTAAAGCAGCCGTTGCTTACAACCCAAGACACATCACAGATCATAAAACTACGTTTTTTGGATTAAAGTTAATGAAAAACATGTAAGTTAGTGTTTTCTCTCAGATAGCTTTTATTCATACTGCTTTTCCCACAGTCCAGTTATTTATGTTAGAATTCCCCACCTCCAGGTTCTATAGGAATCTCCTATGCCTTTGGTTTCTTTAGAGGTACTCCCTGCCTCTTATTTTCTTTGTATCCTTCTTGTGACATCTGTCAAATATGTCTTGCCTTATAGACCTTGTCTACACAACTCACCTTTCATACTAAACTGTTGGTTCCTGGAGAGGAAGGGGTTGGTTCCTGGGAGGGGCAGCCTTACAGAGCTTTGCGTTCCCATAGTGCATTCCACAGAGTAAGCACTTAATATGTATTTGTTGAATCTTTTTGAATGAATGACTGTTGTCTTTCTTAATTAACATATTGTGTGCCTCTTATGTATGAGGCACTGTGCTGGACATTGAAAGGGAGGGAAAGATGTGTAATGTATTTGTAGATGCTACAAATTCTTTTTGGAATTAGATGAGAAATAAATAGCATGGTCTACATAGGGAAGCCAGGCACATGAAAAATAACAGTATAAGGTATTAAAGGGTCTAGTGAGGCAAAACATGAACTTTATGTTTTGAATGACTATAAGTTAATCGAAATATGAAGGGGAGCAGGGTTTTACGTGTTAGCAGTGTAAAAGTTCCAATCTTTTTATTTTGTCTCTTCTGATTGTACTCCTGTTGCACATCCTGGAAGATAGGGCTCTTTTGATATAGCCATCTTTACGATTTCCTGACTGGCCAGCTAGGGTTGCCAGTACTTTTGTATTTTCCCCCTTCCTGACTTCTGCTCCTTCTAAGTGGTGGGTGTCTGAGTCTGTTCCCACATGTGGTTTGATTTTGTTGATTGGTTAGTTGATTACCAAGGCACTCTGTAATCAAACAGACCTTGGGAATCAGAGCCATTGAAACTGTGGTTTATGGCAAATGTAGGCTGTCTTAGAACTGAACCTTCTTAGGGCTAAGTGATATCCCACAACTAATACTACTGTACAAAGTTTTCAAAATGTGCCATCCTCCCATGACTGATTTTAGTCTATTTCCTCAGCTTGTAATAGCTTATTTTTAAATCTTAGAACCATTCTGGTGAAAATGCTGAGCCAAGCTGGGACAGGTTACTCCTTCAACACTAAGAGAAGCCGACTACGGGAGAAACTGACTCTCTTGCATTATGATCCAATTGGTAAGATTCAGAGAAATTACTCCACAATAAATTCAAGTGCTTTCAAGGCCTGTTGCCCTTTCCAGACTGATGCTCTACATGTCTTGGCAGTTTTGTGGTCCGTTTGACTCTGTAGCATTCAGTCAGCCAGTGAGTACTGAATATTTACTATAGTGCCAGTTACTGTCCCAGGTGTTGGGATACACCAGGACACAGTCAGCCTCAGTCTCTGCACTCTGGGTATTTACAGTCCAGTTTGGAAGGGAGAGAAAGAAAGAAAAAATGATGTTCCGCTCAGTGCTTTGAGAAACACAAGCAGGATGCTGAGCTATAGCATAAAGGTGGGGAAAGGCAGATTCCACCTTTATCCTATCCTTTAGGTAGGAAAGAACCAGCCATATAAAGAGAGCAGGTGATACTGTTCAGGAAACAGAAAGAAAAGAGTGTCTTTAGATGGTGAGAGAATATTCTCCTGGGATCGTCTTAACAGTGGCAAGCGGTTAGGTCCAGATTTGAATTAAAGTATGGTATCTATATATTAGTGCAGAAATAATATAAATATATATTATTTCCATTTTGTACCCTCTGCCAAAATGCCATAATAAATGGTAACTTTAAATGGTCTCAGTAGAGGGGCACCTGGATGGCTCAGTCAGTTAAACGTCTGCCTTCGGCTCAGGTCATGATCCCAGGGTCCTGGGATCGAGTCCCACGTCGGGTTCCCTGCTCAGCGGGGAGCCTGCTTCTCCCTCTGCCTGCCACGCCCCCTGCTTGTGCTGTCTCTCTTGCTAGCTCTCTCTCTGTGTCAAATAAATAAATGAAAATCTTAAAAAAAATAAATGGTCTCAGTAGATAGAAGTATTTGTCCAAAAGAGATAAGTGTTCCCAAGGCCAGATTGCCTGCTTACAAACAAAAGACAGCAGCTGATTACTATTGGTAGAAGTCTGATTTTGTTTTTGGATTTCATGAGCAGATTTATATAAAGTAAACTAGCAAACAAATTATTTATTTTATAACTTCAGGCCATTCGTTTCATTTTTGTGCCCTTGATTCTGAATCGCCTCTTGATAATTGCTTCTTTTTTTTTTAATCTTTT